GGGTCCTGCTGCTCCCCTGTGGTTCATTAAGGAAGTTTCACAGATGACTAATTGGTTAACGAGTTCCAATCCATGCGGCTACACTGGATGCATGCACCATTTCAAAAGAGTTCAACACAACTGCTCCCCTCGTATAATGCCCATTTTCCTTTTAAAGAAACCAAGCACTTCCCCCGTTTTCTCATCTGGGGACGATCTGTCACGCTGCAGATACAATGACACAGCTGCACTTTGCTCTGAAGCAGCAGAAATCAGAAGCAATCGCTATAGGAGCAGGAGCAGCTTTCATTTCTTTCCTGAGGGAGAGCACTGATCTTTTGAGAGAAAAAAAGGATGGATATGTTTTTACACAAACTGATCAAACTACTTTTCATTCTAAACGAATACAAGACTGACTGAAAGTCTCAGGTGTACTCATTTTCTTCAGCTAAGTCATCCAAGTGTACACTATGAAGCTAGCAGCTAATAAAATAGTTATCCAGGAACATCAGAAGGCATTTTCCCTTCCCTGACAGGCCTTCACTTCTACCAGCTAAGAGCAAGAGCACTTACAGTGACATCTAAAAGGACTTGTAAACATCACGAGACAAGCCATCTCTGATATTCCTCCACTAAAGTAGTCCTTTCTCCTGCATCCCCAGGAAGCTAACAAGGACAACCAAGCCTCCTATCATCCCTGCCTTAAAAGGGGAAATTTGCTTGCTTGGTTTTTATCCCACTGGGTTTCCTCTGCAAAATTTGAGAGGCAGGATCAAAGGTGTGGATTATTAGGGCTGGAGTCTGGCAGAGACTCCCCGGGCACAGTTCACGTGTGGCAAAATGCTCACAACATAATGGAGGCTGCACTCCAGAACTGGCTCTGTGTACAGCCCCTTCACCTATACCTGCATACAGCCCCTTCACCTATAGAGCACAACTGGCCAATGATGGCCAAATTATGCCAAAGTGTACAAGCCAGAAAGCAACCTCCTATTTCAAGGAGTTACCACCAGGTAATTTCTCCCTCCTCCTTTTTCTTTGCCCGCTTTCCCACTTTCAGCAAGCCATGAAAGCCTAGAGCTGGGAAAACCTACAGAGAGGTACATGCTAAACTTACAGCAGATTATGCACATTTTTTTTTCCTCATCAAGGAAAGTCTTCATCAAGTGCACTGACCCCGTTCCCACCTGGAGGAGGATGGTCACACCACCTCACCCCTCTCTTCCCAAGTGGCTTCATTTTCTTTATGGCCCAGGCTGCTAATGGGTAAAAGATGACAGCAAAGGATGCTCTCAAATAGTAAGGTTTTTTCTCCACATTTCTACCATGTAACAATTGATGTTTTTTTCCTGCCAATACATTGGCAACACCTGAAGGAAAAAGCTGTGATTTTTAAAAAAATGCTTTTTCTTGCCAAGCAAATTTTAACTGCTTTACTTACATACAGCTGTTGCCAATTTCATCTTAGGTTATAAGCTGGAATAGAAGAAAAGACATGTAACCTCCTGCAAATGGGTGTTTCCTTCTAACAACAGTGGCTCCTAAGAGCACCTTTTAGAGATGAAATGAACATTACATGAACAGCACAGTACTTTTTAAAAAAAAGAGTTGAAATAATGTTTGTCTGAAGGTGAGATACAGGCTTTGCTGGAAAAAAGTTTGACTTTTTGAAAAGTCTTTGCTTTTGAAAAAAGTTAGAATTTCTAAATGAAAACTTGAGTGCATTCTTATCTTTTGGTCCAAGTATGGCCTACCAGGGCATTAATATTTTTAGTAAATTAAAAAATGAAGTTCAGCTTGAACTCTATCCTCCTTTGCTAGAAAGATGTTACTAAGATTTTAGGGCTCTTCCCTTGAGTTCCTACTGCAACTGGCTGCCCGTCTCCTGTCCACCCAGTGAGATCTCACCAGTACATACACTGCAGCATTTTGAAAAGATAAAACAGGATGGCACATCACGAACCCCTGTATTTAACATGTTCTTATGGACGAGGATAATGCTGCCAAGAAAACTTGGCATGGAGCGAACACTGTTGATTTTAGGACTGTAAACTGGAGTTCCTTCTCTAGAAACTCTCAGTGTGCAGTTACACTGCTGATACTCAAATCTGCAAACAGAAACGTGCCTCTCTCTGGTTTTTGTGTATGCTTGGTTCACTTTGAGCTTCAGCCTGTTTAGACCCACCTACCATCAACCCTGCAAATTGGGTGAATTAACTTTGAAATTACTATCTTGCTCCAGGAAGATCATCTTCCTTCACTAGAACAAGGCAATATTCCTATATCATCTCTTCTTCCAGTTGTGGCTTCACACATTTTCATTTGTGCATCTTGATAATATCCTTAGGAACAGATAGTTTTTGGTTTGCAATACCTTAATTACAATAACAATTCCAGAAAATCTGTAATGCCTTAGTTTTTCAATATAATTTCTAGTAAGTGTTAGCCCTTCATAATGCTCTAGCAAAGACTGCCTTAAGATTGCTATAGTACAAACTTCAAACTTTTAAGCTAATATGGCAAGAAGCAAAAGCGTGAACTGAAACAGTTCAGGGCTGCAGAAGATGAATACTTTAGCATTTATATTTTACACTTGGCAACACAGGCAGGAGAGAAAACATATTCATAATTATTTGCAGTACTTTGCAGCTATGCTTTGAGGCAGACACTGACATAAAATGCAACAGCTTCTCAGGAAAGAGCTTGCCTGGCTGAAGGAACCACTGCATCATTGCTACTGCTGCTGCATTGCTTCTGGAAGGCTGCAGTGCTGTGCCTTCCCATTTCATCCAGTTACTGAGCTTCCAGTTTAAGATGGTTGGTTATAGATCTGATCTGTTTAATCAAAGACAGGAAGTTTACCTGGGGATACGCATCTTCAGAAACTGAGAATATTTTCACAGTTTGCTGTCCCTGCTGCCTTTCCATTTTCTTTCAAGATTCTGGATGAAATCACTGTTTCCACCTGTCTTATTTAGGTGAGTGCCAGTAAGCAACACAAAGGGGAAGTGCGGGCAACATGTTGGACAGAATGTTAAAGTCAATAAAAATTAGACAGCTTTTTTCTCTGCTGCTTTTTTCCTGGACACTTCTTCACCCATGGTGATTCATAGGTGCAGTGGGTGACTGCAACAGCAAACTAGGAAACCCTAGCACTGTGGGAAGGAAAATAAGTTAAAAAAAATAATAAAAAAAATTCAGTTTACTCCAACTGATCCAAGATAAATAATTCTTTTTGACCAAATAATTCCAAAAGTCTGCAGAGAATAGTACAAAAATCAAGAATAGCCAAAGGCTATCTGGATGCAAAATAGACAGGGTGACATTCCTTAGGGAGGGGGGAGAAAACAGTGGGGAAAGCCTGTTCCTGCTGAGAGTCCTTGCCCTGCTTCCAAATTATACAGAAGGGAAACCTGCATCAGAAACAAGGAATCCAGAAACTGAAGGACAAGAAGCAGATGGAAAACAGCACTCACTGACTATTTCAGTAATCACCTGGTGAGGACATGCTAAGTACCTGTCTCTAGATCAGAAAAAAGGTTCCAGGCAATTAACAAGCTGGACAAGTCAGTTGAGATAAGGAACTAAACCCACACTTTTCACAAGCTCCTTTTTTTTTCTTTTGGCCTTATCTATTCTACAGCTGTATTTAAGAAGTGATCAATAAAAACGAAGCTCCTGTGCAAAAGAGTTTCCCAAGAACTAATGCCAGCCATGATACCTGTAAGTGCAGGGTAACCCTGCAGCTCTCAGCCTGATTCTCCCTACCAGCTTCCCCGCATCCCCAGAGCACAGCAAGGTTTTGTGCTGTGGGCCCACGAAAGCCCCATTCAGACTATCTGCCAAGGTCAATGGAATTGTATCACTGTACAAATAAAACCACCACTCTTAAAGAAACCATGAAACGTGGCTGCCTACTGAACCATGTTGGCAATAACAAGACAGACGATGACACAGTGAGATAGATCTGTGATATCACATTCCAAGACCATTGCATGACATCATTTCTGCAGCTGGCACCCTAACATTTCCCAAGGTTTGTATTTGTCTGCTATTTTAGAAACGATTCGAAAAAAAATGTCGAATTATCACCACACTTCTTCAAGGGTAGTTCAGAAAATTGCTACTTGATGTTAATTCAGTACCTCACCATTAACACACTTTAGGAATCACTGCTGAGCACCAGGCTGAACAATGTTCTAGAAATACTGGACAGGTTGCAACCAGTACATGGATCCTTTCCAGAGAGATCTTTTCACTCTCACACAGAGCTCTGTTCCTGAAGACTGCCTCCTGCTCTTCATTCTTTAGCATAATGACTCCAGGTATCTGTGCTCACACCATCCTTGTGACACTGCAGCAGCAGAGGAATGGCTAAGAGCAGACAGCCTCTTGAGCAAAGACCCTGGATTTTATGCTGAGTTTGGAAAAGGAAAAACATGGAAAGAAATAACCAGAAATTATTAAAAAAAACAAAACAAAACAAAGTTCATTTGTTTCCAAGGGTTGTTTTTTCTTTTTTTTTTAACAGATTTACATGAATATTTAAAGTGAGGTAGAAGACTTCATTTCAGATCATCACATTCAATTTTATTTAGAGAGTAACTTTATCTGAAGTATTAAACATGCAAGCGACAGCACACAGACAGGGTCACTTGCTTAGTCACAATCATGATGCTTGAAAGAGACAAAAATCACAAATGCTATGCCTTAAAGAGACAAAAATAATAAAATAGCATTTTGATAATGGGCTTTTAAGAGATACAATGTCAGAAAAAGTAAGGAAAAGGAAGATACTTTGGAAGATCTGAAGTTGTAGAAGAGGCTGTATATAGGAAGCAGCTTGGAAATAATGAGAGAGGTGGACACAGAAGTAGGAAACAAATGAAGAACCACCAAATAAGCCATTAAATCTAAAATGGAAGAGACAATTTTAACCAACTCCATAGATGAGACGACAATGAGAACAGAGGAGGAACAGTTTAATAATGAGGTAGAACAAAATAAGTAGACAAACTGTATAGTTTCTAGCCAGGTTTATTGTCTGAGATGATGATTTTGGAAGAACAGATCAGTCATGATATAAAAATCAAGGCACAAACGCAAGTCTAAGCACCAGCATTTTCCATAAATGGGAAAAAAGAAACTTGTAGACATGAAGTAACAAACACCTGCAGGGTTTCAGAGAAAAAATTTCTCATGAAAGCAAACACTGAGACTTTGAGAAGCAACGAAGAACTTGGTGAAGTGTCAACTGACAAGGAAGGAGGGCAGTACAGCCACAAGAACATTCATGGTACTTGTATCTTATTCAATGCACAAGGCAGTATAAAGTAGGCAGGCAAAGAGAATTAAGAATATGAGGTAAAAAGAAGCAAGATTTCAATTAGATGTCATAGTACATAGGCCTGAGTGGAGATTTGACACCCTTTGGTAAGTATGAAGGAAAGACAAGAGGTCAAAACCAGTAGCCTTTGGTATGAATGGAAAAGGCAGAGATAAGTCATCCCAAGCAATTGAAATAAAAATGTAACAGTCCAAAAGCAGACGGGAAAAACAACCCACAACCAAAAACATAATGAAGAAAAATATTCACTTGCAATAAAAGTTGCTGAGTAGTCAGGAGCAGAAATAAGCCCCTTGTTTCTAGCTTCACACATTTCTAATAATTTGTAAGAGTTCTGGTTAGTTGGCAGCCACATCGAAAGCCAACCAGGAAAGGTTCAGGAAGCTGGGCCAACTAGGGGTGAATATAAGAACAATCTTCCTAAACCAGAGCTTAGGAAGAACTGCAGACCACAGGAACACAAACAAGAACAGCACAAAAGGAGAGGAAACAAGAACCTCCAAGAGAAGAATCTTTTCAGTGCCTAGTCTCAGTCCATAGGAAGAAGTTGTTACAGCAATAAAGCTATGTATAATAAGAACCTGTAGATATTCTTTCCTTTTTTGATTCTTTTTGTTTGTTTGTTTGTTTTTTTCCACTTTTGATGAAACTGTTTTGCCTCAACAGTACGTTTTATTCTGTAGCACTTCTGTCCCAGGCTGAACTTGGGTTTGCAGCTCAGTGGCTGAACAGATCAGCCGTCCAAGCCCCATGTCATCTGAAATGCTGACATAAAAGTTTCAGGCTCCCCCAGAGGCAAACAGCTGTCTTGTGTGTCCAGGAACTTCCACTAAATGATTTCCACAACTCACCTAAATACCAGACATACCCCTAACGACAGTATGCTGCAAGGGAAATGTGTGTCATTGAGAGTACTCCTCACTCAGTTTGAGGACTTACGACCTCTATATGCAATACAAGACCTGCTATAGAGCACTAAAAAGTTGTTCTACCCAATGTCAGATCTAAGGATTATCCTGGCAATTTCCCAACTTCATCTTAAACACACGGAGCTGCTGCAAAGCATAAGGTACTTGAGATACAGGAATAGCAGTGTGAAATCTAGTGTCCTTTGACAACTAGTAGAACAGTCTAGATAATGTAACAACTTCATTTACCCTCAAACTTCTGCATGTAGCTCTTGGAAAGCAGTTTATACCTGCAGAAGCCTGGCCTGATCTACAGTAGCTTGACATCCTTGCTAAAATAAAGCCACCGATGAGCTGAGTTCAACTTTTCTACTTCAGAACATGTTTTCATCTCCAAAGCTCAGTTCAACTGGAATTAGATGATGCATCATTCACATTGATAGGAAAGACCCATGAAGTTTTCTGCTCCATGAGAATCACTGGAGACACAGCACCTCTCGTTTCCACAGAGGGAATTTGAAAGGTGCTTAGATACAGTACAATTGTGCTCAGCACAAACACTTAAATCTGAGAAGAAAAACTACATCTTTGCAAACTTCACTATTACACTAAGTAGCAAACAGGTGAAATATAAAAGGACAATTTTCCATCTGCATCCACAACTTTCAGAGATAAACTCGGAACAGAGATAAACACGGAGGTACCTGGATCAGCTACATTCCCTGCTGGCTGGTGACACAGGGCTAAAGCACAGCATTCCAAATAGAAGCCTCAACTCTGATACTGAAAACAAATTCAAGTCCTGCCATCATTCACAGAAAAAGAGTAGTTTTCAATTAAGAGGTTTTCTATCACAGAGACATTACAGAGCTAACTATGAAGAAGAGGCAAAGAGCCATCAGTAGTATGTCACTCCACCTTTTCACAATTATCTCAAAATGACTGTCAGAATTACGTCTCGAAAAGAAGACATCCATCTAACAGCAGATAAGCTGTTGGCTTCATTAGCAATCTTCACTTGAGATTACTCAGAACATGCAAAACAGCATTTGCAATTCATTTCAGGTGGAGATCTAATCTTAAACTCCTTAAAGGTGTGCAACAATTAGCTCCTACAACTGAGTATACCAAAATTCTCTGCTGACCCTCTCCATTTAGCTTCTTTTTAAGGAGCAGTGGGATCTGTGCTTACCTCCCTCATCTCACAGAAACAACTGTGTTGCTGACCTTGTCCTGAGACCCCCAACAGAGATCTAAGGAGGCTGCTTTGGCATCAAGCTCAGGACGCTCCAGTTAGAATTATTTCCCCTACCTCATTATGGCAACGGGAAACCAGTCACTGTACCATCATACTTAATGAGAACGCTAAATAGCAACGAGAGCTGCAGCAGCAATTCATGCTATCAAATAAATACACTGACGAAGGCTCAGCCAAGTCAATGTGCTAAATGGACAAGCAAGACATTCTCTCCTCGAATGAAAATCTGGTTGATGTGACGTGTGAACACCTGTTGATAATCCACTTTGGGCCGCCTTTTTCTCCGTGACTGGCTTCTTGCACGGGTACCACCGGCACTGGCACCCTCAGTGTGGGCAGTCCCGCTGCCCACATCAGCTTCACCTCTGGCAGGCAGGTGCAAACCATCACCTGGCAGCTTCTTTTCTCCAGCTCTGCCCGAGCGTTTCTGCCTCTCACGCTCATCTTCTGCTCTCGCTCGTCCCGATCCAGCTTTCAGTGCCAGGGTCTGAGAGTCATTTGTCAGGGCTAGTTGCCCCGAGACAGTCTTTGAGTCAGCTCCCTTCTTTCCTGAGGACTCCTGCAGCTTGAGTCTGTCAAAGAGCTGTAAAAGAACATTTCTGTATATGACCACATTCATAAAACATGAGAGGCCACTTTCTTGGCATTTCTACATGGTATTTGCATATACAATACCAAATCACAATACACAGCTACTGAAGAATCTTTATAAGCAATAACTACTACATTTTCTTGCCAAAGCAAAGCCATGACATAAGGTGAACGGATCTCTTGCATGCACATGAGCGTCTTCATGTGAGCACCAAGGAATTTAATTCAGATTTAATTTCAGAAGGAACAGTCATGTGCAGTAGCATTTAACTTTGGTCAGGAACAACAGAAAGTTACCAAGTTCCTCCATAAGCTCAGTTTCCCCAATGCTCTTGCAATGTTATCAGATAGTATTAGAGATATTTCCATCCTTGTGTCCTCAGGCAGGACATGAATCCCTAAGGTAAGGGGCCTCGATAAGCAAAGAGTGTCTACTGAAAAAATGATGGACCTTCTGTGTTCCCCAAAACAAACTAAAAGAGGCCGTGTGGGTATTCTGGGAGGTGAACAGACCGAAAACAATAGAAAAATAATAAAAGCTAGAGCAGCAGATCCAAAGCACTGTATGAACTCATTAATCTAAGAACAGATGGTGCTGAAACTGGAAAAGAAACTGCTTTTTCTCTGGCAGCAGGGAAGCTTTTATGAAATACTGACAAATGAAAAGGATTCTCCGTTAGCCTGTCTCTTCCCAGCAACAGGATGGAAAGCCAATCCCTGTGAGAGTGGGCTAAAGGAACAATAACAACTTGATTATTTTTAACTAATCTTTAAAAAAAAGGAAGGGTGGGTTCTATCAGAAAACACATTTAAATGGCTGGAATTTGAAAGCAAATTCATCACAATGAAACTGTTTAAAAGTTTTTGTGATGCTCCTCTGATGTTCAGAAGGCCCAGAGCGATGCCATTCAACAGGCACAGCACTGTCACATTTTTTTTCCTCATTGTTCAGAAGTTCATCTATCATTTCTTCAGCTCTCATCTTTGTAAACATCTTTTTTTTTGCAGCTGGATCCTAGAGAGTGCGTTGCTTTGGAGCAACGTGCAGAATCTTGGGCTTCACGGTACCAAGACTAGAAGTTCAAGTGACCAAACAGACGCTTTGTTGGGTGGAGGCAAGGACTGTCATTCCATGAACATTAATAGCAGAGTTAGGCATTGCCAAATCACCCTGCATGACAAATGTGGACCGGGTCAGTCATGGGTGTAAAAAGTGCACAGAACAAATAAATAAAAAAAAACAGAGCGAGCTTATAGAAGGTCAGCATCTCTGCACTACGCAGTGGCAGCAACTCTCATCTGGTGTTAGGAACTCCAAAGTGGAACTTACGAAGCACTGAACCATGGTCAAAGTACTTTTAAACAGGTCAGAAAACTGTTCCCCCCCCCAGGCCAGTTAAGTCAGCAGGTAAAACACTTCAAATGTACATACAGTTTTCCAATCAATGCTCCCCTTTTACTACTTTGAAAAAGGAGATACTAGAAAAAACCAAACCAAAACTGGAGATGGTTACGTACCCGAGTTAGGGTGAGCTGAGGTTCTGCGTAGAAAGCTTTGCCCATTACTGGTTTTCTGTACGTCTCATCCACATCTGTCAGGGCCTAGAAGATAAAAGAAACGGAAAGGTCAAAGTTAAAAGAAAACATGAAGCAGCTTTGGACCAGCTTTTTGTCATGGCATAATGAAATTATGCCCTATCTGAGAGAGAATCAATTCCAGGAACAAGCTGTGCTTTGGAGCTGGCTTCTTAGCTCTGCTGGGGTATAAAAGCAACAGCAAAGCCTAGCATTCATGCTGCATTACTTGCAGAATCTTTATGAGCCTTGCCCACAAAATCCTTCCCACCCTCTGCCCACGTTTTCAAAATTTTCACAGCTTCAGGCTCACATATTAACTACTTTTCCATCCACTCTCTTCAAGATCTTCAGGAGGTAGAACACCGGGAAAAGTTTTGCCACTGAGATCTCAGTGACGCGTTAGTGAAAGAAAACAGAGAAGTGGCTCCCACTGTAAGATCGTGTTTTGCAGAGAAATCTTTGGAAGCTTCTAACATTCCTCATATTCCATTTTCCTGGGTTCTTATACAAAACATCCAAAGATGCTGGGAATGCTTCAAAGCTTCTTTCTCACCTAAAAACTCCTCTAAGATGGGGAGACACCTCTCAGACTTACCAGTCCAACACTGAGCAGCACTTCAGTCAGAAACTCAGCACTCAGTGCCAGAGCAAATTAGCTTTATGAACTACAATACCACATTCATCTTCTCAAAATGTAGTTTGTTTAAACCCATTGCAAATTTCAAGTTTTCAATATAGCAGTTATAAATCAAGGGCTGGAACAATAATTACCATATTCCAGAACTTGTCAAATGCAACCAAAAACCCTGTGCAGACTCCACGAAGCCCTTTGAAAGTGCGGATATGGACATTGATTTTCACACCATCTCGGACACAGCGATGAAGTTCCCCCAATGGGCTGCCTTCATGGACTAAAACAGAAAGAGAACATCACTGGTCTGTGACAAAATACAGATATATATGTAAATATGTATGTAGAAGACTTCTCTATGTAGAAATGCAGCAGACCTTTCTAGAACACTTGTGTTCACAGCAAGAGAAATGAGACACCCTGTAACACAGTGCGACTGTAGATACTAAACCACCAAAACTCTCCTTACAGTGGGGACAGCAAAGACTTCAGAAAACATGAAGTTTTTGGGTTTGCTTTATATAACCCAAAGCTAAATTAGCCTTAGCTGAAAATCTTTTTGCTATATTTCAAAAACATTCTAAGTAATGCTAATCTTAAATAAAAGTCGTTTGGAGGGAACAGAAAGCTCACAGATGCAGAGAGTTTCGCAGAAAAGGCAAACACCTAGTTAAAGCTACCTCAAATTACTTACAATCTGTTTTAATAAAGTACTGTATCAGATACATTGCTTTTCTTTACAAGGAGATTTCTGAAGCAACAAATTAACTCATAAGTTCTTCAACTAACTAAACTGGATCAGTTTAAGTCCATGAAAACTTATTGTTTCAGTTCAAACTTTCACCAGCCAGCTGACATCCTTCAAAGATGTACAATTCTTTGGCAAAGAAATAAAATCACTAAAAGCAGCAGCCACCAATGAAACCACACTAAACTGCAGCACAATAACGCTTTTAGTTGGGGCAAACCCAAAGTAATTCAGTGAAATGTACAGCTTACCTGGTACACACAAGCCTTATCTTTGCAAGTGCACATTATCTAGAGGGGTAGATATTATTTAGTTTACAACTTCCACCCATGCCACAGTGAAGCCATTCAAGCCATAAATTACAGCTACCTGTTTCTTTGGGCAAACACAACCCCAGGATTGCTGTGCAATTCCTACTGAGAGCCAGGGAAAGGTATAGGTCTAAAATCTCACACAGTTCTTCATACTAATCAGACTATCTGAGTCACAGATGACCTCTTGCATTGCACTTCAGGGATTACGTATTCAAGGTTTGATCTGCTCGCTAGAGAACGCATCCTGTGAGTGCAAATGTGACTGTACGACAGCTGATCTGCAGTATGCGGCTGCACGGTAATTCTTAGCCACAGCAGGGAAATCTAAAGCAGTTTCCTCCAAATTAAGCTCATCACATTTATTTTTTGAGATCTGTTGTCTTCTTTCCAGCCCTCTCCAGCTGGATAGCTGCAGAAAATTGCCCTCACGCAGAGCATAAGCTGTCTCGGTGCCTCCCAGCTTTGCTTATGGGGGTCATTTAATTAGTCTCTGTGCTTTCTTCAGCTGAACTGATGACAAACCTATGTTCTGAATTCTCAGGTCCATCACAGGAACCAGAGATGACAACATCACCACATCAGATTAATGCTTTTAATCAGATAATGTGTTTGTTTTTTCCTAACCAAAACTGAGAATTTACAGGACCATTTTAGATTTTGAATTTTTTTTAGATTTTCGTTGCCCATGTTCCTTTTATATAGGAACTTTATACAGGAACTTCCTTTATACAGGAACTTCCTTTTATATAGGAACTTTATCTACAGATTCTTATAGAAATCCAATCTTTATTTCCAATTACACCTTTGAGTGTTGGCACCCCATTAGGCCTGGTAGAAAACACTACTTTACAGCTCTACCAGATGTAGACAGTACAGGCTCTTCCCACTGTTCCTTGCTGTGTAAGGTTCAGGCTTCACCAGGGCAAACCTCCAACTTCACCTAATCAAAAGGACAGAACACATCATTCAAAAAACCTTTCAACAATCTGACATCCACTTCTCAGGAAAAAATAAAACCAGCAACAAAAGGAATTTATCTTTGCAAAATATCTCTTCTGCAAGCATCAAAGCCTGGAACGACCAGGCTCTGCATGCAGCTAGATTTGCCCGTGGCTTTTCATGCTGTTAAGTACCAGTATTAAAAATTTTTGAATCCGTAGGGAAAAGAGTTACCTAGTTGGTTTTTACTCAAAATCCAATCCCTATTTGTATAAAATAAGCACATGCATAATACCAGGATTCTAAAGAATGACTAGAAAACTACTGTAAGCCAGAGGGTAAGTACCCCAGGAGGGAGAAAATACAGATCCAAACTCTGGTTAAGTTCAAGTCCTCGTCCTCAGGGTAGACTTTATTAAGAGAGAAGATTAAAAAAAAACAAGAGCAAAGCAAGTCAGAGCAGTTGAAATAACTCAGAACACTATCAAACGCCTTTCTAACTGCTCCACAGTCACTGCTTGCGCATGAGTTCTCTGCCCCTTGGTAAATGCAAAGTAATTTGAAATCCTGAACTGATCCAAAACAGGCACTGCAAAACTAGCTTCCTTCTTACTTTTATGGCTACATCTGAAATCATCCCTCATGGCAGGCAAAATTTTAGGTCCATTTTACATTTCTAACCTATTGAATTTAAGGAACACGTTATACCTTGTCACAGCTCCCTCAGAGCACAGCATCACAACTGTGGGAGGCAGCAAACCACGTATTACAGTTATTTTCAGAGGCAGCTACCACCTTAAAATCAAAGCTTCAAACGCTGGCCCACCTGTGGTGCAGGCAGGCCCCCTACTTACAGGGAAAGCACACAATCTTGGCTATAAATTATTCTTAAAACTCTCCAGACTGCTGAATAGCACTTTCTATGTCTGTTGTGACACCGTTCTTCAAAGTCCACACTGTCCACCCTCAGATGTGTGGATGTTAAATACGTGCCCTTCACGGAAGCACATAATCTATTTGCTAGACCACCACTAAAGTTAATTTTTACAGAGTTTTTTTTCCCAATTTCCATCACAATAATTCAAACACAGATATTTTACATAAAGATCCTACATCAATATTTAAGGTCAATTCTTTTGGAAAACCTACACCAACAGAACATCTACATTTGTGCAGAACGCTACATTGTTTGGTGTCTAAGCAAAAAGTTCCTCTTTGGGCATTCAGAATTGAACATTTTGAGCTTTGCTTTTTTATAAAAGGAACATTAAGGTGACGCTGGTGATGAGAAGTGATACTTTGATTGCAATCAACACCCAATATTTTTAATTCAGTGCACTAAAATGACATCTTGTTTGACAGCAATGCCATTTGGGCTATAGGTGCAGAAGTTGCATGGTTTAATGTTTAGGGTCTGACTCTGCGAGCATGAATTTTGACAAGAAACGTCTCTCATCGTCACAGATACACCAAACTCCAATATCGCAGATGCCTCCCACCACAGTCCCCTCCTGTTCTATCATCCTGTTGCTGGAAACACCAGTGCTGTATTTCTGCCCCCAGGATATACAGTTACTAACCAAGATACAGCAGCATGTAACAGGCTCACACTGCAGTTATGATTTAACTATGAGGTGCCCAGGCTCAAATCTGGTTCCTGGTTTAAAAACGGTTCTTTCGAAAGCACAATGAGAAACTTATTCCTATTTCCTTAGAATCAAGAGAGTGAATGTAATTAACCAAACAACAGAGCAGGGTATCACCGTAACAAATTCACTGTAATCTCTGAGCAAGCAGTTCTGCGAAATGCGCGGTTCCCCAGTTCTGCACACAATTTTCCCCACCTCGCACACAGGTATCATTTTTCCACCCAAACTCCATCATTTCCCCTTCCCACCCACTCACCCCCCCGCTTCCTTCAGCCGCCGCTCTCTTCAACCCTCCAAAAATTCCCCCCAAACTCCACCCGGGGCCGCGGCCCACGCCCGGGCCCTGCCCGCTCCCTCACCCCGCCTCAGCTCCGCACCACCCCGCACCCCACCCTCACACCCTCCGCCGTCCCCCTCCCTCACCCCGGCC